CTCCACAAGTGGAAGAAAGAAAGCCTCCCAGCACTGGGTGTGGATCAACCCTGAACTTAGACCCACCTTTTCATTCTCTCTGCCATGACAGTGTGGATCAGAAAATGCACTTCAAGTACGGCTTGAACACAAAATACTCTTCCTGATCTAGCCGCTTATTTGTGTACAAAATATACCAGACACCAGCCAGAAGAGAAGCTTCTGGAAGCTTAAAGAGACTGCACTATTGACATTTCAAACAGCAAAGCTTCACATCCACAACTGCATAAAATGCATTTCTTTTTCATGGGGCCCTTTGCCTAAGTACTCTCCTACTTGGGCACCGGAGCTGTCTGTGTATCTATTGTGTATAACGTAGCAAAAGTTGTTGAAGTGCATCATGAACTCCAGCCTTGTCTAGCTTAATGTCTGTATGATAATGCTTCATTTATTTGGTACTACTACCTGGGGTAAAACAGTCCAAATAAATGAACTGTCTAGATAACTCATGTATATAGTGTTTTATGGGTTTCAAGATACTTTCACATACATCATCTCTAAGAGTTAAGGACTGGAATTTTATCCCCATTTTACAGAAAAGAAAACCACCCCAAATCATAAAGCTCTTAAGTGCATACGTAGAATTAGAACTTGGATTATCAGACTCCAGGTCTAGAATTTTTTCTATTGATTTTTTTCTTTTTTTTAATTCTAGTACTGGGGACTGAACCCAAGGATTACTAAACTACATCCCTAGTTCCCAATGCCCTTTTCTTTGGAGACAAGTTCTTGCTAAGTTGCCCAGGCTGGCCTGGAACTTGCAATCTTCCTGCCTCAGCCTCCTGAATGCTAGGATTATAGATACGCATTGCCATGCCTGGCTCTTCCACTGCTTGTAAGCACCAATAAACTATTTTAGCCTTGTAAAATGGAAATATTAAGAAAAAAAGAATGAGCATAATTTGATCTTTACTTACTGATTCACAGCTATCATTATAGACATCAATTGTCAGACCTACTACATCATAGGAGCCACTAAGGCATGTAGGGATAAATTCATCTATAAACACCCTAGCTGCAACATTTAGTGTGTTGTTAAGGTTAATTTTATGTCTTCAAACCTTATTGTCATTTGTTGCTTCTTTCTGCTCACATGCACCTGTCCCTGGGAGTCGTCCACAATTTTTCTCTTTAACTGTTTAACTGCTTTATCTGGTTTTCTTGTTAGAAAGCCAGAAAATGAAGCCTGTGAAGAACACGCATTAATTCAGAAGAGTAGCTTCAAGCAGGACCCAAAGAGCTCTCAGATGAATCAACTATACAAGCGGGAGCTCCATGGTGTTTTGTATGTACAGCAATTGTTACTGCTTAACCACTATTCTTCCTCCCTGATAAAGAGAGTTCAAGTTGTAGAATAGCCAAGTTCTAGTAAAAGAGCAATGTTGCTGCATTCTGAAGAGTCTGTTTTCACTCAAAGCCACTGATGCCTTGGGGAAGACTAGAATCATCCAATATACAGAAGAACCCTGGACTCACCCTAAATAATTCCTGTAGTATATGTCTTAGAGTCATAGTGAAATTCTACCAAGAAAACAGAACTCAAAGCTTGGATATAGAAGTATCAAAGATATTTTAAAAACTAGAATTCTATCTCATTTTTCTTCTCAAGGACCACAATATCACCACTTCTTTATTTTGCTTTACCTCAAGTACACTAAGAACAAAGAAATCTGTATCACATGATGGCCTGGAAGAAGCTGTGGCATAAGTGAGTTTCCTCATCTTAAAGTGGTGATAATTACAGTACAGACCTCATAGAGCTGCTGGGAAAATTAAATGAGATAATTATGTAAAAGTAAGCATCATACATTAGGCACTTAATAAATCTCCACTATTATTATTATCATTATAATTATTATAAGGTAGGGGAGAAGGAACGGAGATGCATAAAGGAAAATCTACTTTTAGTGGAGTTTTTCAAAAAGAATTAATTAAGCAGAAACAAAAAACGATTGTGCTGCCCCATTTTACTAAGCACATCTAAGTAAATTAAATTTAGGAAACGAGGCAATGCAAAGATTGAAAATAAAGAACAACTTTTTAAATGCTTCAATCATTATCAAAACAACATTAGCATTAGAGCACTCCAGCCACTGTAGCAAAGTGCCCCAGGCTCATTTATGAGGGCAAAGGCTTCCTGCAAACAAAGACATAAAATCCAAATCGAGGCAGTAAGGATTGCTCGTGGAACTGTGCACATATTTGCAGAAAGGACTCACTGCTTAAATACCCCCAATGTGGACTACTGAAAGAATCCTAAAGAGACTGTGGGTCGAGGCCAAGATCAAGATAAGCTTTCTTCAACTTCATTTGGTGGAAACAGCTGCCACATCAAATTTCATACAATGTAATAGGATAATTTTCTCAATAATCTTGTCTACCAGATTATTTTAGGGGAAAAACAGTAATGCCTCTCTATTGCAATTCATTTGAATAATAAGTAATTATAAGAAAAAAGGAAGTAGATACGCTGTTTTCATAGCAATTGATAATACATCATCTTGTGGTGGTCTCTGGTTTTAAGTCTTCTCTCTCCAAATATTTGTTATCAAAAAGATTTGTGGGTAGTCTCTCCAAACATGGCACAAATTGCTTGAGGTTTGGGGCCATGACTTGTTTTTTTTATAGGACCCACTTTTTTTAGTGAAATGGGAAAATGATAAGAAATGGGAATATAACAAGCAAGAATGAGTTTAGATATCATTTAGCATCTCCATGTTTCTTTGCTAGTCCTTTGACCCTAGTCTTTTGGCCTGTTCCTACTGTTCCTACAACTCAAGGATGTGGAGAGAGAGGGGTGGGGAGAGAATACAACTAGCAGGTGTTGTTCCTACTTTCCACCCTCTGTTCACTTGAAAAATGTTCATCTTCCATGTTACAGCAGCCATTATCTGGAATCTAATCCAACTAAAATATTGTCAGAACTTACTCTCTCCTAGTCTTTTGTTGTTCCAGTCCTAGAAAACACAATCCATAAAGTACAGGACTGGACAAAAATATGAGGGTTGAAACTCAGGTCCCTCAGTGGACAGCAATGACAGCTACTCTGCATACTGGAATACCATACTCATCACTGTCCCAAGCTCTCCATCCAGGTAATGGTTCTTAGGTAGCATCTGGGGACTTAGTTTTTCTAGAAATTACATAAATCACTGTCATATCATTCTAAAAAGGCACCTGGATATTCCAAAGAGTAAGATTCATATCTCTACTTCAACCCAATTCTCATCACTTCTTAACAGCCCACTTTCAACCAGTAGGTCAACTCCAAAACCAATCTAAGAAGTACATGAATGGTACGTGTATTTTTAAAATCAGTTTAAATTATTCATTCTATCACCAAACTGTTAGTTTCAACCAACTCTTCACAAGAGCCTGGCTGCATAAATAGATTAACAAATACCTCAAGCTTATATAATACACTTCAAACAATCAACCTAACGTCCCCTGAGTCTTTGACCCGAGAAACTATTGTGAATGTATGCTTTATTGCTAATTTGCATAACTTTCTTAGCTAATTCTAAGAATTTCATTATAATATACTAAATGAGCTATAATCAACCCACCTAACAATTCAAAGAGATTAATTCTTGTACAAGTGCCATAAATCTTAAGCTTTGCAACATCAAGTAGTTGGAAGTATTTCCTATTTGACCCCAGTCCTCTTTTTGCAGGACAAGAAAATGACAGTTGATTCTGTGTGCTTAAGGAAGGGTGAAAGTCTCCATATCCATAATTAATCTTTCCACTTGTATGAGGCAGCCTAGTGAGATAGTTAAAAGCATTGATTCTGGGGCCAGGGATTTAGCTCAGTGGTTTCACCGCCTGCTGCACAAGCGCAAGGACCTGAGTTTGATCTCCAGTACCAAAAAAAAAAAAAGTAACAGTATTGT